CGAATACCATAATTTATTGCTCCATCATGTGACCCTTCTAACGTCAACCATCGGAGTTAAACTCGGCATGACAATACAAAGCTCTCCTTTACGATGGTTACATTATCACTGATAAACTTACTACAACATTAGTTTTTGCAATTTGTACCACATCACTTAGTAGATTGATTGAACATTTTGGTGATAATGAACCTAAAAAAATTAATACAATGGTTTCTTTTTATATGAATTGGCATATAATTATGGTTGAAAAGAATATGGTCGAAAAGATTAAGAAAGAATTGGAAGATCAGATAAAGGGATTAAAAAAATTAGCAAACCGGTCAAATGGAGAATTCAAAGAGAAAATAAATGACATAAAAGGAGTATTAGAAAATCAAAATAAAGTAAATAAAGAAATAATAGAGATAAATAAATCACTATTATATCAGATAAAAGAAATGATAGATTTGTGTTGTAAAAAGATGACTACTGATGAGAAAAATAAGAAAAATAAAATTGATGTAACAAAAACACCAAAAAATTTAATGAGAATTGAGTTGATTATCGTAAAAAATAAAATAATTAAGATATTTATTTTACTGCAAGCTTTTTATAGAGAAATAAATGCAGATAATGATAACGAAGCAGATAATAAATCTATGGATAAAGATCTGATAGTAATCATGTACAACGAAATATTATATTTACAAAAGCCTTTTATGATGGGAAGAATATGGAAGAACTAAAGGACATATATAATAATATAGATGAGCTAAAAGGCATATACAATGATATAGATGAGCTAAAGGACATAGAGGAGCTAAAAATCAAATACGTTAAAATGATTAAAAAATTAAAATCTGAAAATGAAAAGCTAGCTAAATATATAGATAATGAAATAGCTGAATATATAAGGAATAAAATGAAAAGTTTGAAACAAACAAGTGAAGATGACGAAGAAAATGTGTCTATAAAAATAGATGAGTAAATTAAAATGTTTTAAATAGTTTTTATACATACATATTGATAGTTTTTCTTTAAGAGTACTGTTTGTTTAAATATATGTTTTTAAAGCATTATACTGTATTTCATTATTAAACATAAATAAATATTTATTTGGGTTGTTATTTTTGAACATAAACCGAAATTCTTAATATGCATAATGTAAATTGTGATCCGATTAGAGCTCCGAATACGTTAGCTGGACATTCTACAACAATCCTACTTCTCGGTTTCCCATTGTTTATCACATATTAGTAACTATCATTTTTGTAATTAAAGTGCCTGTGGGTGCATTGTCACTTAACATCAAACCAGCTGGTTATCATTAATCCCGGCTCCTATATTGGTTTGATTAGTCAATGATCGTTCTTAGGTGTAATTTTTTCCAGAATTACCTTACTTTTTACAAATAGATATTTTTTGTTTTGAAATCTTTAATGTATCAGAGTTAACTTATTTAGAAAATAAGTGAGAGTTTAACACACTCTATCTCAGTTTTGAAATTCTGAAATCAGAAATCGGAATCTGATGTAAGTCCAAAGCGAAAAATAAAAAGCTTCGAAAAGCATTGCACGAATTAGATATATTATAATTTGGAATAATCTGGCTAGTAGCGTCAGATATTAAATTTTATTGATTGATCTTTATTGTGAATGTGCAACATACATCTGTGCAATTGATGTATAAACCGAGACATGTGATGCTCCCAGAAATAGCATAAGGTATCGCCGCCGGTTGAATCGCGATGCGTAGCAGAGCCGGTGGTTTCCCACACTGCATAAAGCAGGCCGGCCTCTATTGATACTATTGGATGTGCCTGGCTAGCAGTCCAGATATTAAACCTTATTGGATGATCTTTATTGAGAGTGAGCTGCATATATCAGTGCAATTGGTGGATTCTATGTAGATTCACATGGGTGGGAGGATCTGGGTGCGAATTTGCTTCTAACGGAGATGGCTGTGGGTATGCATGTAATGTGCGTATTCTTATATTGCCCGACAATGCAGATATTGTTAGTATTCCATTGCGATTATAATTAGGCAATTAATTCAGATATACTTATCGTTATCTAACTCCATTCCTGATTAGGATTAGAGGCTGATTCTGGCTTAACCGGATTGCCGCCAGCATATTAATATTAATATCCCTGCTTAGCCATCTTTTCGATCTCTTGAATTATTGTATGTGCCCTATAAGAAAAATGTACTGTAATTGTATGGGTTGGCTCGGCATGGCACGGGTTTCGGTGGCACGGATTTTTGGCTCGTGTCGGTCCGTATACCAGTGCCAATTGGACCGTTAATGACTCGGGTTTTGCAACACTTTACTAGTCCAATTGGTACGGGTTTTGGTACGGACGTACGTAAATTCACGTACCACCATAAAAACATAATTTACTTCAATTATCATTAATATAATACATATTTGAAAATTAAAGTAATTGTATATGTGCAAAATTCTGCAAGGAATATTTTTCGTTAAGATAACCAGAACAATTTAATCAGTGAAATTTTGAGATATTGCATTTTTTTTTCATAAAAAAACACTGATCCTTCGCTCTTGAGACACGTGCATATACGTATCATTCAATACGACCACTTTCCCGTAATGTCCGTGCCATTTTTAGCCGTAAAATGAGCCTCTACGTACCACACATCCGTACCATTTCGCGCATTCCCGAAACCAACCCGAGCCACAACCCGGACCACTTTTCTCATAGGGGTGTTACAATGACTGCAGATCATTCACAGTAGTGATCCGAATCGACTAAAATTTATTAGTTGACTAGTCAGTCGACTAATTTTATGAATAGTCGACTAGTCGCATAATATATAAAGTAAATATAATAAACCATAATTTATTAAGTCAACTAATCAAAAATGTTGTTTTTCAAATTTCATGCGAATGAAATTTTGGCCCGCATTATAGCAGCTTACTGCTAATGCGGACCAGAATTATGTTCCGAAATATTCCGAAAACTCCGAAATATTCCCATGTGCATGATGCACAACACTACGTAGTCTATATATTTATTATTTCTATTTTTAGTTGATTTTTAGTCGACTAATAAAATTTAGTCGATTGGTTGATTTTAGTCGACTTATTCGACTAAAACTTAGTCAATTCATATCACTAATTCACAGGACCCGAATTTCTCGATTTTCATTGGCATTAGTCACCGAACATTACATAGACGTGCCTAGACCTTGCTAACGCTTCAGACAATAAAAAAAAAAACAGAATTTTATAAATCACATATTTTGAAACAAACACGTCACTAATTTTAATCAAACTCAGAAATCTGATTATTAACCCTAGTGTAAAACTTTTAAATCACTTTTGTAAAGTAGACAATTATAAAAAAAAAAAAGGAATTAGATGATAATTACATGAGCTATCGATAAAAGTAAACATTTAAATTTTTGTCAAGAAATTTAATTAAATATAAGTGAGCAATTACATACTCTTTCCTGAACCAGAAGCACCAACAATAGCAACAGATGTCCTAGGTTCAATGCCCAACAAGATATTATCTAAAACCTTAATGTTAGGTCTAGAAGGATAGCTAAAATATTTTAAACTGAATATGGCCTTCAACATAATCTGAAATTTCACCAGCTTGTGAGGCAGAATCGATCGGTGGAACAAGATCAATTGTTCCAAGAATCTTTGTACCAGTCCCAACTGTAATCGCAAAGGCCTGCAAATCCGGAACAATATTTGCAAGAGAGAATGCACCAATAATTACAGTAGAAAAAGTATTTAGCACTTTAAATGAAGGTGTTAACTCAACATTTAATTTTATAAATAGAAATTGTCGATTTAAATCTATTATAGGTGACAACTCTGGAAATTTTTTCAGAGGCATTTATAATAGATTTAAACCAAATTTTCTAATAAAAAAAAGATAAAACCTGGCCAGGAGTCATTTAATCTGCAAGAAGTAAAGTTGATCCATACCACAAGGCTGTAGAATAAGTTGCATAAATAAAAAGAAAAAGATCCAAGACTAACACCTTATAATATTGAATTTTTAATTCTTTCATTTTTAAATGATTATTGTAAATGTTTGATAATTTCTTTTGAATACCAAATGCAATTGTAGTTCTAATGATGGAAATTGATTCCTCTGCAATCTTCCTACTAAAGAGTAATTATCCAAACTTCATTTTGCATAAATTTATTTATTATGCGGCTTGTTTAATTTTAACGAATATACCAGGAACGGAGTGATGTGTAATATCATGAAGTGTATACCAGGAGCGGAGTGATGCAATCACGAAGTGTATGGTTACTATAGTGATTGGCGCCGTAATCATGTGATGCTAATTATCACATGATACAATATAAAAATCAACAATTAGATTGTTGTTTTTGGATTCCCTTATGTCAAGAAAATCCCGGGCTAAGGATCTACAAAAATTAGGCTCGGAGCCAATAAAAATTGCAG